TGCCCTGACTGATGAAGACTCATGTGACGCAAGCTACTTGCAAAGTGTTAGTGATTCTGCTGTTGCATTTAACCAACAGTACCGAGAAAAGAGAGCTGAAGAAGAGTCCTCCGTAGTGGCAGACCCATTTTCTCCAGAGGCATTCTTTTCATCTATTCCACTGTTTAATAAACTTCAGAAGAGACCAGCGACAATACTCCCCAAACTGTACAACACAGATTCTTCCAGTTATTACCAACACGAGCAGGCAGATCAATGTTTTACAATAGAGGATCATGGAGTGATTATGTGTAACAGCGAACCAAGCTCTACCCATGTGTTGCATGGTAGCAGTCAAAGTGTACCCATTGCACCCAAACCAGATCCCAATGCTAAAGTGTCATGTTATGTCCTTGTGGTCCCAGCTCCACTGTATTATAAAAATTTTACTCCACAAGACAACCTGCAAATACAACAACAACAACACCAAGAAGATCTTCCTGTGACTTCCCCAACTGAAGCTCATCTTGCAGTAACAAAACTTGATGCCACCCCTGAAGGTAAGAAACAGCAAATGAGATTTTCCCTTTTTCTTAGGACCTGTGCTGTTTGATTAGTGAAGCAACATCTGTAACTTCATACTATAGACAACACCGACCATATAAATAATAAATTACATTTGTTATCTAAAAGCTGGCAAAATGAAGTTTAAATTTGCTGGTATATGCATATGTAAAGGGCTGTGTGAAGAATGCGTTTAGCTTTACTTGCTTATTACAGTCATTCATCTCAACTATATGCAGTTCAAAACACTGAGTGTGTTTTTACCACAAGGAGTACATTTGTCCATTTTCAAAGAAAAATAATGTACATATATAAAAAAACGTGAATGATACAATAACATATGGTAAAATGCTGATTGGCTGAGTCAGTGACCACATGGAGTGGTTGTTTTCTCCACTGACTGTGCAGTTAAATGTGGCATGATGAGTATCAGTTCAAAGATTTTTTCTGTTAAGTTCAAGTAAGCACATGTGACAAGACACTGGTCTTGAGTAGTTACTGAACTTAAGAATGAATGAAAGTTATCTTTTAGGATTTCCCAGGTGTATCTATTCAAACATCAGTAATGTGAAGTGAAACACAAACCTGCGCCTGATTCTCATATTGGATGTCAGTTGCACAAATCCATTAATACTTTATGCGTGTAATTTCACAGCATTGCATCCAATACTCATACATCCCCCTGAGTGGACTCCACGACCACAAAAGCCAGCCAGGACACCCTTACCTTCAACCAGGATACGAGTGTCACCAAGCCCTAATAAAGGTAGTAGATCCTCCCCTCTTATAACTGTATCGACGACGTCAACTCCAATTCAACCCCTGCAAGGCAACAGACAGCAGTATGTCATTGTTCAAGGCAATAACAGGCACTTGAAAGGGATTGCAAGGTACAAGGACAGTTTCAGAACTCCCTCAGAAGAGGAAAATCATCAACCTATATACCTACAAGGTAAGGCAAGAAGATTGCGACTTAGTGTGCCATACTGAGATATTGAATAAACACAACATGAAATAAATCACATGGAGTTACACCTCCACTTGGGAGCAATCTCATAGGTGGGAAGTTCCCAAACAAGGAGACCTAGTTATTCTCCCAGCCACAAAAAACTCAGAATTTTAAACCTTCCATAAGCACCTTTCTGGTCCCAAGGGTATACGCGTAGGGTAGGTTCCACTCTATGCAAACTGTAGGGGAAAGAACAAAAGAGAAAATTAGCCAGTCCAATTGGATTCAATTGGATTTTTCATTCCCAGTTCAAACACTACCATCAAGAAATGAATCAGCCGATTATGCAGGCCTTAACCATCTTATTTCAGTTACATCTCAGTCACATGTGTTATGATGCCCTGTTATGTCCAGGGTAAATGTTCCTACATGTAGGTTTATTGCCACTCCAAGCTATATATCCTTTTATCCGTAAATGCGTTTTTCACTTCAACAATGTTACACTTTTGTCACTTATTGTCGAGAATGAAATTTAGGTGAGGATCACGTTTGGCATACAATTCACTGGGTAGCTAATTGAACCCATCTCTGATAGGCCTGCCACCTCAAGGTTTCAGAAGATTTTGGAAGAGCAAGGAAGGCTCTTGTACTGAAAGGACCACCAAGGTGAATTGTTTTGTGTTACTGTTCCTTGTTAGATTTAAAACACTTCTCATCTGCTTATTTCATCTGTGGCACCATATTTAATAAAGGGGGAATGGTTAGGAAGGCCAGTGAACATCAAAGAAGCAATTAAACTAACGGGCCATAATTTATGTTGGAAGGTTCTTGACGGCTGCATATCTTTTGTTTTATGCTCATTGACTATGGATGAGTTACAATAGCAATGCTTCTGTTGGTTAGTTGTATGAAGACACATAACAACCTTTTGTATTTTGCCAGGTTTTGTGTAGGGTCAACCGACAAAATAGCCAACAAAATCATACAACAACGATTGCTAAGTTTCATAACCATTTCTCTCTATTAACTATGGTGGCACTATGCATGATCACGCTATGTGAATTACCTTCTCGTTAAATTACCAGCAGCGTCAGATTGAAGAACAAATCTTTCAGTGTGAATTTTCAGTGAGCTTTACTAGCAATTTACCATGTGCCATTTGTGCTGATTTTCAGAGGTCGCTAGCGCCACTTTTTTCAAACGTTTCACCGTCTGATGGTCAAGAAGCTACTGTTCCACAGACAGAGAAGTCTCCACTGACATGCGTCAGAAGCAAGCTGCCTTGTGACAGGGAAGTGCCGCAGACTGATAGCACGGTGAGGTTTTTTTATCATCAGGTCACGCTTTCTTAGGTGATTCTGTAACAGGAAAACTGGTCCTAAAACTGAAGAAACCTCTCTAGACCTAGAGCAACACAGAAGAAATACTTAGATATCCTAATGCAGTATAGGTGAAATTAAGTTTACTACGAAAATCAGTAAGCCGTGGAATTGGCTCAAAGTTTTGTATAACGACCTCTCCCGCTTTCTTTTGCTGATCCGCCCACATTCATTTGTGTTGTTGTGAGTTGACAATAAGCAAAGTGTAGTGATGGATACAGGATGAGAATTCAAACTAAAGGTGGGGAAAGGGAAAGAGGCGGATAAACGGCTTAACATATTTGTTTGCCTCTTCCCATTTCCCATCTTTAGTTTGAAATTCGTTCACAGTCAACTCACAACGCAAAGGATTTTGAGCGGGTCAGCAAAAGAAAGTTGGAGTGGTCACTGTACAAAAATTCGAACCCATTCCACGGTTGGGTGATTTAGGTATTAGCTCAGGCACCATCAAGTTAGTTTGTTATTTCGCTGAATTGAAAACTTCCTCTTTTATAGGGTGGAGATGACAGCAAACTTTTGGCCAGTGAGAACACAAATACTTTAACATTAAAACCATCTGCAGAGGAGGAAGGATCTCAGATCTCACCCGGTAGGAGGCACTCCCAATGTCCGTCTGGCCTGCTGTCGCTCCAACTATTAGCATTAAAACATGCTCTGAGCTGCATGAAGTCTTTTAGTCCCAATTAGCCATCAGCCATGTGCCATTCATTGATCCACATTAAACTGTCCCCTTCTGGAGAGTCTGGGTCTGTTTAATTAAACAGGGACTTAATGCTGTTTTTGTCCTATCCGGAAGTAGAAGGGGAGCAATTTGCATAGGCGGCAGTGAGCATTCAGAGCCTCCAAGGCAAGAAAAAAAAGGAGAAAAAGGGGAATATGATTATATGATTTCAGTTTTTATCAGACGCCACTGATTTAATGCCACTGCATCATCTCGGCTATGTACTTACTTTACTGAACACCACAGCCAGTATTAGTAACACAAATTACGAGGAGAGCATTTTTAAGTGATATACTCATCATGTCATGTTACATGACCATAAATGAGCCAAGAGTTGTTCGCTCGTCCAAACGCCGCTCACTGTCCCTTCACGCAATTTTTGTCCCGTAGCTTGTGTCGTTTTTGGGTTGTCAGCCATTTTTTTTTTGTTTTCAGCTTATCGAGGTGTCTTAAGAGTAGTCGACTCGACCAGAAATTTCATCGGTCGCTGGTGCTGACGGAGAGCCCTGTGACCTCGACCTTTTACGTCTATGACCAATCAAATAACGTTTTCAGTGTATTTGCGACAGAATTCCGATAGTTCTTGGGTGAATTTTGGTAAGGAGAGAAGTGCGGCATGTCACGATCTCTTCAACTAACCGTGGACCGTGTTTCCTTACAGCTGGTACAGTGCAGGAATGTCACAACGAGAACGAGCTAGAGCTGCCCTTGGACCCTCAAAAACTTACAAGTGATGAAATTACTACGACGCCAACCCCTAAAACTAGACACGGAGAAGACAGAGAAAAGAAAAAGATCAGAGACAGGTTCGAAAATAGTTTCCTCTAATAGCTTCTAGTAAATTTCCAAGTGCCGTTACTTAACAAATAAAGAAGCCTAACTCCCAAATTTCTTCAAAGAAAATGTTTTTCGCCATCTGTAACAAAAATGTTGACTAAAGTTAATGAGCGAAAAACAATAAAACACGCTTTTTTCATGTTTTATACCCTGATTAAACATGGGTTTTTGACCAATCAGAGCGCGCGCAGGGTCCTATCTATATTGTAAATCGTTTTCTAATTCGCCGGCAGGGAGGTAACGTTCGACAGTTTTATTCCTCAATTTCTAATTGTAGCAAACTATTTAATCAGCGTTGTTAGTAACAGCACTGTGTTCTCAACGACAATATTTTGAAGCCTCTGTTGATAATCCTTTTCACAAATTGCAATTGAACCTAGAAATAATTGAATATTTAAATGAGCGCGTTTGTTTTCTCGTAGGCGATATGACGCAGAACTCAAGAAAGCCTTTGATCAGCTTAGACAATTAGTGCCCCGTCTTCAGAAGAGTTCCAGTAGGGTATGTGTAGATGGCCTTCATTAACTTAAGTGGTCCTTGCGAAGCACCAGATCAAGGGTTGAAATAGTGTTAGAGTTTGAGCAAGGTCTAATTCAGAGTAGTTACGGGTCAATGTGTAGCGTGTTTTCAGCATCGTTTTTGTTCGCGTTATCCCTCACAGACTTAGCGAATGCCGTGCGCATGGTTAAATCATGCCGTTTTGCGATTTAGTTTTTAGCTAACAGGATAGGGATAATTTCAGCGTCAGATATCAATCTAAGCTGTCTAATTAGAATAAGAATTCAAACAACCACAACGCCTGGTTAACTTAAGTTAGCCACGTAGCGTTTTTGCTCCAACCAAGACATCGATTGTTTGGTTAACTTTTCAGGGACTAATTTTACAAGAAACTATCAAGTACATTGGATTCCTCGAGAAAAAAGTTTTAGGTAATGTCATCATTTTTAGCTTACTCCTTTTTGTGCCCTTTTCTGTCAATCGGTGAATATTTTGATCATTTTGATTTCGGATTTTTTTTTTATCAATTTAATACAGGTGCAGGTTTGTGGTCTACTTTACAATCGGTAGAAACTGCTGAACGCAGTACTCGGTTGGAAAATGCCACTCAAGGAACAAATGTCGATAAAAAGCAAGGAGTTTCCGAAAAGTCCTCTCCTTCTGTCATAAGCTGTGATGTTACTGATATATGCAATGTGGCTGCTAACACAGAAAAGGAGCCATTGACGATATCTGAGCAAGAAAAATCAACAACTGTCTTAAATTCTCCTGTAATTTTAATTCCACCAATGTCCCTGTCAACAGAAGAACTTTCGTATTCGTTTGTTAGTCGCGAAGGATCTGTTGTCGCCATTGATTCCGTGGATACTAATGAGGAAGGGGTAAGAGTTGAAGAAGTACCTTTGCCGATTCCATTCCAGCAAGTCCAGCTCTTAGCCGTGGATCAAAGAGATAAAAATCCGGTATTGACTCCTCAGTCACCAGACGAGCCCCAATCTAAAGAGCCCCACACCAGACTTATCCCTGTCGTTGAAATACCTGGCTACACAGAGAGCGGCGAGTACCTGAACGTGGTTGACGAGGGTCACATCTCTCCCCAATGGGACGTATTTCTGAGCGCCATGACTACAATCAGCCAAGAGGGTTTAAATGACCTTGGAGTCACTCTCTCGCCCCTCCTTTCCCCCTTGGGAATTCTGCTCTCGCCTGGAGAAGACCGTAGTCAGGAGCCTACCATCACGGCTGTGGTTGAGTGCGAGGAAAGTGCCGAAGCGGAAGAAGCTATTTCAAATTCATGCACCGAGGATGACAGCTTTGCATCCAGCGGTGGGATGTCAGGGATTTGCACGGACATGACGTCCATAGCAGCCTCGGTAGAGATTACCACTGAAGAGCGAGATAAAAGTGTGTCCTTATCGACTGGCAAGACAAGAAGAAAACCGCGACCGGCACAGATCGTACCTTCTGTATCACCTCTGCAAGTTAGCGATGACGGCTTGACATGTAGAACACCTCGCAGCAGAGACAGGGCAATACTACAGGATCACAGTAATTTTACAGACACCAAGTCGCCTATGGTCGATGATGGAAAAGGACGTCAAAGAAGGCGGAAAGACCACTCACCCAAGCAATCCTTTAATGACAATGCTGACGAGAACTCTGCTATTGTCGCCAATCAAAGCCGCACTCCACCTGGGAGAGTGTCCAGTGTGCTACTTACAGGGAAGAGGAAGTCTTCCCGCAGTCCCCGTGGAGGAGTGGGGACGAAGAGAGGACGGCGCAATTAGATGCAACATTATACCTATATATGGCCTCAGTGACTCAGTTATAGTGGCGTTAAAATGTTCCAATGTGTGGTAAATCTTGCACTTTTGACATAGTCACTTGAGAGTAAACCTGTAGCTGCTTATGTTAAGATCGGAATACAAGATTGGAAACATGAACTGACAATTTAATGTGATATGGATTCTGCGCGGAATGCTAGCCGAGGAAAGCAGTGATTTCATGCAGTGTATTTCAAACCATGTTAGTCATCGAAACCAAGGAAGACGTTTTCTCCAAAGAACTATGTATGACATCGTTAATAAATTTGAATCGATCTTTATTTCCATACGTCTTGTTTTACTTATCAGAATAGAGCAATCGCATGGCTTAGAGAGTTTTGCTGTCCACAAACAGCTCACAGACATCCCTCAATATAAGCCTTCAAAACTCTTCTTGTTGTAACTGCATGTAATAGTGACATTCGGTTCCAGGATGCATGACATTTGCCATTACTTTTGGCATCTCTACAGTAAAAAGCTCGCCGAATCTGTTTTTTTCCAACTATTTTTTTTCCTTTCAACTTTGACTCGCCTACCGCCTATTTGAAGATTAGTCGATGTTAGCAACACTTGCCCTGCTTTTCTTCTACTAACAGATAATGTACGCGGACAATTATCCGAGCATTACCCAAGTGGAGGCTATTGTGTTTACTGTCTTTCAAATATTTTTCGCAACATGCGAGATTTGAAAAATTAGGGAAAATCCGAACACATTTTCAAACTCACCTGGGGACTAGCGTGTTTATTCTCCTTCAAATATTTTTCGCAACCCGTGAATTGGGGAATGTCGCTGGGATATTTCCCAGCTATAGCTGGAGCATATTCAGTCACGTGACGCGTTTAATCCAATCGCATGCGAGCGAAAATACCTGGTAGATTATAAAGGCTGATAACCGAGATTCAGTGAACCAGTCACAAAGCTAGAAATTAAATGCATTACGCGAGGTTGACAATTACACGATAACGTTTAAACCAGATTTAATCTTGTTTCTCCTTTATTAACTTTGAAAATCATGACAATCAATGGTAGAGATGTTGTGGCAATAGCACAAAACAATGTATTTTCCATCATTAAAATCACACTAGAGCGATATGCATTACCTAAGTGTGCCCCACGTATTTACAAGTATTTTATTTACTACGTCTAAAAACAACCCTTTGATTTTTAAATTCCCAGTTAAAGCTAGTTTACAGGTCGACTTTCAAATAACCGTCTAACTGCCAAATCGGAGTAATTCCATCTAGTCAATCAAGAAATGAAGACGATGTCACAAAAACCTACAAATGGTACTCGAGTCCGGAAAGGCGGGATTTTACTCTGCTAGGTCAGAGCATGTCAGAAATAACAAAGTTCAGAAAAAATAATAAACTCGATATTCTCTTGTTAACTAAAAGTTCTAAAGGTAGTAACATGGCCGTGTCTAACACTTAGGTGAACTTCACAAGCAAAGGTTCGACCGGTACAATCACATTTTCCGACAGTTCTTTTATATTTATCGCAGGCCTGGATAATTATTGCCTCTCTCGGGTATTCGAGATAACGACAGCTGAATCAAAACATATTTCATTCTGTACAGAACCTGAGTAGACATAACTTAGAGATAAAAAAAAAAAACGCAAATTGTTGTTTTGTTAACAAATGAATGAAATATTGGCTCTGCGATGCTTTGAAAATAACGAACATATTAAAGTAGTTATCTCGCTGCATACCGTACAAATAAACTGTGTATATTAATACTGACGACAAATACTATACCAAATAACTTACCGAAACAATATACATGAATGTACTTTGTCTTCCGCGAATGGACTATATACATTCTTTACAATATCAGTTTAGTGATTAAGAACCGTTCTCGGCAAATCGTCGTTGAAGAACCCGAACAACTTTCGATTACTTTCACCCAATCAGAGAGGATGCATAATCCGAAAGGTTTTCCGTCAGTTTGTCGCCACGTCATGTTACTTAGCAACATCCCCGTCGGAATGAACGCTTGCTCAGCCAATTCCCGCTGAAAATAGTACTTCTTTTGCCTCCCATACTGAGGAATGCTTAACCACCAATGATTGATATATTATATCCTTGCAACTTGCAATGAAAAATAACGTAAAATCCATTGACATTTTTTAACTGTACGATGCAGCATGCATTTAACAAACCACAACATGCTCAGCACGTGTAAAGGGTATAAAAGTCGAGTCAAATTTAGTCTCCGAGAGTTATAGAGTGTTTTCATATGACGTGACGGCAGCCATATTGGAATCGGCGGCCATCTTGGTGTTCCAGAGTTGAAACTCTTTTCTCACGTAAAGATTTCCTTTTGTTCCAATACATTTGTATGGCTGCTGGCCCCCCACGTGAGTGAAAACGTTCTATTATGACTTAATTATCCCTGAGTCCTGATTTAAAGGCTTACTGAAAAGGATAAAAGGGTTAAGGCCCCTTCAAATTTTTCCCCGTTTTTCATGTGTTTCTTTTTTCCCTCTTATTTTTCTCACACTATACTACTAATCTAACTCCAAAGAGCACACGACTGAAAATTTTCATGCACTTGTTAAATTTTTCATAGTGAGACAATTTTTAAGGCCGGATGTGTTCACTCACTAAATAACACTACGTTTTAAAAACAGAACAACACGCTTTAAATTAAAGTATCGCTGTCAGTTTTGGCGGTAGAACTATTCCTATCCTCAGCGCTGTCTGATGCGGCCGGCTGTTTAGCAGCAGCTTCATATAACTGATGGAGCCTGGAATTTTCTTTCCGTTCTACCTCTAATCGCCCCCGGTAGTTTTCCGCTTCCTTCTGCGCATGCTCGAGCTCCGTGCGATATTTGTCGCTGTCTCGTTGAAGAGCGTGAACCTTCCCTTCCAACTCCTTTCTGATTTTGTCTTCCTCTGCCTGCCGATGTTCCAGCAGCTTCCGAAGGTCTTCTTGGACTTGCAGTAAAACTTGAGGACCAATTAAAGACTGTTGTTGCGACTGCTGCTGCTGAACATCGACTGTTGTTTGGACAGGACTCCGAAGAAAAATTGAAAAAAAAAAATTGAAATTGCTTTTCAATTCCGTAAAACCTATTCAAAATTTAAAATCAAAAATTACACATCATATATCCAACTTTTGGATTTTAATTTTGTAAGTANAAAAAAAAAAAAAAAAACTGTCAATCCAATGCCTTATGATACACGCCGAGTACCTTGCCTCAATTTTAGAACGAAGCCTCGCCGAAATTCATTCGCCCCCAATCATTTGTCAGTTTTCACTGAGCGGCCAGAATCATAATTCATCTCATACCTCATCGTGCCCCGCAGGACACCTAAGGCCATATAATCATAATTGACAGCAGGTAAAAAGTCAGTTGCAGGGAAACGGTAGCACTAGGTAGGTACCGTAATTTACAGCAGCACAAAAACTACGCGCCAGTCAACAGTAAATGAGAGGCAATGAGTGAGTGTTCATGATTGCATCTATGAAATGTGTTTTTCTTTAAGGAAAACAACAAACTGGTTCACACCGGTTAAGACGTTCTGCGAGGACAAGGGCTACTCCCTGTACCCCATAAGACTAACAGTAATCATAGCTTGTCACCTGGCCAAGCTGAGCCACGTAATTCTGGGGTAACAGAGTCCTTTGTGGCACTGATTGAGCCAGTAATTGTTGAGTGATGTTTTGATGTTGTTGTTGCTGCTGCTGCTGTTGCTGTTGTGATCCTGTGGCTTGCTGTTGTTGTTGTTGTTGTTGCTGTTGTTGACGCTGCTGTTGTGAGTTCTGATTAAGCTGAGGCATTTGCAGCTGAGTATCTAAAGCAAATACAAACTCCGGGTTAAGTAATAATATTGGAGGTAACCAGCAGCTGGAAAAAAAACTGTATCGGTAGAAAACGCTTTATGGAAACAACTTGGAAATTTCCCACGTAAGTTCTGAATTTCTTTTTGCCAGTCAGTCAGCGGCACAGACGTGTGACATGGGCGTTGTAATACATGCATTCATACCATCCCATAGAAAATACAGCCACAGAATACAGGAAAGCCGTTGTATATTAGACGGTATAACATCCAACCTTCCCATCATGCGCAGCGTGTATGCCGCATTGATTGTGTTGGCCATTGTATTTTCCATGGCATGGTATAATATAGTTATGCAGTGCTCTCTCGTGTGATACCGCGGAATATCCCACTTGTCAATAGTTTTTTTTCCTGGTCTACACACTTGCCTTAAGGCTCGAGTGTAGACCATGAAAATACAAATGACTCGTGGGACATTCCATGCTATACCACTCGAAAGCGTTGCATACAACATGTAACTGGTATGTAGCATGGAGGATGAAGTTTACTCACTCGCTAAGAGCTGTATCTGTTGTGGAGTGAGAGTAGAAAACGTCAGCGGCAACGCTCCATGGCCGACGCTTTGCATCAACTGCGCCAAGTTTAACTGTTCCTGAGGAAGCTGCAACTGAACAATCGGGGCCTGCGGTGCAGTTGAGCCAGCAGTTTGCTCCTGTGTAGTCTGCGCACTAGCATCGTGTTGCTGAACAACGGTGACCGGGTTCTGCTGTGGCTGAGCTGCTCCAGATGTTTGCTATGTTCAAACAACAAACACTATTTTAAACCTCGCAATATGAATACATTGTACAGCAGTCAGTTGACCAGCAGACCAGACTAACGAAAATTGCCAACTATGACATAATTGATACACCATGTTATAACATCCTATAAGGACTGGCTGCGAACAACTTTGGTCAACAGCATTGGAAAACGCCTTTGAGCCTCATCAGGATCAACGTCTCGCTGCCTTTAATCTATGCGTCAAGCCAGTAATTAAGTTAGACGAGGAGTTGCAAAAAGTATGCTTAAAAGTGCACTTCAGCGACACGCCATTAGTGAAACCAGAAACCAAAACGCGCAAAATCGTTTTGCCCTGTGGTCTCGATAAGTAGACTGCAAACTGGTCATTTCTCTCACGAGTGGATAGTGGAGCAAGCATTCAAAAGCACTTTTACGCAGCTAGTTTTCTCGCTCACCTTTCGCTCAACAATCCGCACGAGACAAGGCAGAATGCTCACATGCTGACAGCCTGTGATCTCAAAAATGTACCTGTTGGGAGTCCTGCGCAGCCACTTGTTGAACAAGCTGCACCTGTTGAAGTGCAAAGCTTGGATCTGTCAACAGCTGCGGCTGAACATGCTGCAATCCTGCTGGAACCTGAAGCGTTATAAACAGTTCCTGTGTTCCTGGAATATTCTGTCCATTGATGTCATCTTGTTTTGTTTCACTGCCATCTTGCTGGAGCTGGGTGTGTGCTACTTCCTGAATGGGTGTGACAACGATAAAATACATGTAAATAAAACATTAAACATATATAGCAAATCTACGGAGTGGCACAGTATCCAGATCGAAAATAAATTTAGAACCGTTGGTTTTTGTGGAGAGTGGAAAACCGCCGGAGAGCCTGGAAAAAAACCCCTTGGAGCAAGGACGAGAAGCAATCATATGATGCCGGGTTTAGGACACCACTCAAACTTGAGCCACATTACTGGAAAGTGAGCACTCTTACCACTAAGACAACCACAGGGAGCAGGGCCACCTACATAACCTCATGCACATGCTAACATAGAAATTACAATGCCAACACGAATGATGTTAATCCAGTAAATCTATTCTAATCGTTTCAAATCTTTACATACCTGTGACTGGTTTTGGCTTTTTAACAACTCCGCTGCTTGATTCTGGTCAACTTTCACGTGAGCTATAACAAAGAAATGAAATAATTTTTGAATCACTGACATGGAAGATTTACACTCGATTGATCAGGCAGGTAATGAAAATCACGATGAAATGGTTCTGTTGATGTACATTTACTAATCGCTATTTCAAATTACGAGGTTTGATGGTAACTATTAGTGGTAAGCTAGTGGCCTTGTCGCAAAGTTATAAAACAAGAAGACGTGTAGAGACTGAGTGATGGAATGGAAATCCGGTACAGTACACGTATCAGTGTTAAGAACAATTTGTATCGTCTCAATTGGAAAATTATCTTGCCTAGTTCCCATACATTTGCTTGGTGCACAGATTACTTACCTAGTGTTTACGTATTTGGTACAATTGATAACGTATGGAAATACTTTTTTCCTTGGGTATTCTGATTTGCATTGTAATGAGGAACAAGAGGTTAATGAACTTCATCATCTTCCTCACCTATTCCATCCTTGGTTGTTGTTGCATTTAGCTCGAGCACAACTGAAGGCTGTACGCTTTGCATCGGAGCAAGCATCTGACTTAATGCAAGCTGTGTCTGGAGCTGCGACTGACCTGATCCACTTGGTAGCTGGAAAGGAGCCACAATGGTCTGTGGAAGCATTGTTTGTGCAGCTGTGTTAAGAGAGTGTGTGCCTGAAGTGCCAAAGGTTCCACTCTTCACTGCACCAGAATCTGCTCCTGCAATGGTAACACCCGCACTTGCTGCGCTTGTTGATATAGGCACATGTACATCTCCCGCAGTTGTCACTGGAGATGGCGCTTGCTGTATTGACATACCAGCTGCATTGGAGAAGAAGGGTGCACCAGTTTGCATCAGAGGCATCAGCTGCGCTCCTGTTGAAGCCACTTGCTGAGGCGTCATCACTGGCATTGAGAATGACAGTGGCAGGGGTGAGGTTTGAGCAGGTGACGATAATGAAGACAGGGCAGAGAGTGCAGCTAGCGGGGATGGCATGGGGAAAAGACTTGAAGGAGTCAGTGGAGTGGTAAAGGTGGGCGTCGTTGGTGGAAGGGTGAGTGGTGCAATACCGATGGGTCTGCCAGCCATGGCTGTAACTTGCTGTGGAGGTGTCGTGGATGTTGCAGATGTACTGTGGCTTAAGGTAGCTGTAGCAAGAGTTGCCAGTGTGTCCAGAACACTGGAATCTTGAGGTTTAGTAGTACTTGAAGTGCTTTTGCCCTCAGACAAAACTACAGAAAATAATGAAGAAAACAAAGAAGGTATATAAAACAGTGAAAACTATTGCACAGTAGCAAACACATACAATGTTGTATTTGATGCAAAAAGGGGAAGCTCTACACAAGCATTAATATATAATAAAGGTTTTGGACAAATTTCCTACCACCTTACCCATAGTTTGGTCAACTACATGGTAGAGTGTAAAATTATTCTAGGTACATTTTAAACTAGAAACAGTTACAGATCTTAAGTTTGACTAGAAAATGGAGGGTTTAAGATGCTTATTTTCTTACCTAAAAAGGGTTAAAAGGTGATATTTTTCAGGCATTTATAGGGCTTTACACTCTTTGATATAAAAGGGGAGGGGGACTTTGACCCACTTAAAAAGCTGCAATGAAAAACGGAACACTTAAGGATTGTTTTGTAACATGTCAGGTCAATGTCAGGTCAGATTATCTTGGAACAGTCTGCACCTGGAAGAACATGAATTGTCCGCTTACCAGTTGACATGTGACACTCTCCTTCACTTTCAGATTTAGCTTTTACTATGGCTGCTGCAGACACAAGGGAGGCAATAGAGTTCTCAGTCGGACTTCGCAGGGATGGTGAACCTGGGAAACATAGAGAACAACCAATTGTCAATCCAGTGTCAAAGTGAACATTACAACCAGTACATGTATAAGAGCCTGCACAGTCACTTCCAAAATGCACATTTATTTGTAAGTTACATTTTCCACTTTATTCTCATTATCTGCTTACTCTGCCTCCTCTAGAGTTGGAAGATGGTTAATGTAGTGCCTCATTAAAATTGTTTCTGCATTACACTGTATTTGAGTATTTGAATTTGTTGTGATTGGCCAGTCCTTACAAAAACACCTTTAACAGCTATACCATAACTTTATGTTCATTAATTATGCACAGTTTGGTGATAAATTTTAATACCAAACTACCCCACAAAGTGGAGGTTGAGTGACTGAGATGTCTAGAAGCTTCCACCCATAGCAGCTGGCTCCTGGCAAATCCTGGCAACCAAGCCATGAGCCCCCTTGCAGAGGTGAGAAAATAGGCACCTGCCACACTGATAAAATAATGGAGAGAGAGGGAGGGAAGAGGGAAATGCTATGAGAATAGCCCCCTTACTCAAGAAAACACTACATAAACACTAATGAAAATGTTCCCTAAAAGCAAACTGCTACAGTGCAGTTTAGTCTAAGAGCACTTGGAATCCTGGTGCATGTGCAGTATCTACATCCCACTGGCTGTAAAGGTACATGCAAGACAAGTGCTCCTTGTTGTTATTAACTCCAATAAATTGCATTCAGCAGCATTTACTTAGTACCTGCATTAGGAAACTGGGGAGGTGCTGACACTCGTCTTCCTCCACCAACTGCAGACTTTGGCACTGTTCCTGGTGTAGTTGCCTTTCTACGTGACTTACCATTTTCTGTGATAAATGAGCCTTAAATAAATACATGTATTATGTTTTGGGGTTCAAGTTTCAACACTGATTTGTGACAGTACTGTAATTGGACCAAATGGAAGTAATCAGGCATTCCAAGTGGTTTCACAATTGGACAAGTTCTTAGCTTGAGGCAATTTGCGATTTGCGATCAAGAAGGTTTGAAAATTTTCTCTCAAGTGAAGAAACAAAATTCATTTAGTACCATTTGTCATAAGTTTTACAAACAATTGGGAAATAGAGAAACACCACTTAGGTTTAACCAATTAACTGTTTGAATGGTGTAGGTGTCCAATCACAGTTACCATTAAATTTAAATGTAATTTTAACTTTTAATTGGATATCTGTAATTGGACACCCACATCATGATCATGCACCAATTGTAACATTACAAATAGATGTATGGAGAAACATTCAAAATTGGGACTTTTGTTAAGCACAGCAGTTGGCAAATTTGTCACTCAAGAAAAAAAAAGCAAACTAGTATTGCAAACCAGGGAGTAGCTGCAGTCTGTGATGCTTTGTAACACTCAGTGACAGAACACCTTTGCACACATTCAAATACAGGGCCAAGGCTGTTTAATAGGCTTGGCTTAATTTATAACATGTGCATGTAGCTCTGAGTATTACTTGTACACATGTGTACTGCTACAAAGAAACTCCAGAAGTGACGGTACAGTTCTTACCTGTAGGGCCTTCTGGGCCAGTCCAGGACCCAGCTGTCATGGGAAACTTTTTGGTTCTTTGTCTTTTCTTCATCGAGTTCAATGAAAGGTTGTTACGATCAGCTATACAAAAATAACAATTGTATAATTATAATAATTACATAACTCACTAGAATCTCAAAAGTATTTGCATAGATTGCTAACAGATTTTTCCTAACAAGAGGTCTAACCTGGTTCACAACTATGCTCTGCAATTATTGCCAGTAGTGACAGGGGTTCAATCATTAAAGTTAGAAGGAAGGCAATCGGTCCTAACAGGCAGGCAAAACCTCTTGAACTGACTTCTTTATGAGAAAAATAGTTTCTCTAGATGGTCAAATCAGGCAGGCAAAATTGTCCGAGGCCACAGTTGGTCAATTTTACCTGATGCCTGGCCCTTATTGAAAACTCTGTAGTAATGATTCAAGAGCAGTATTTTGCACTATCCAGCCTGGATGCATCTTATGCAAGGCATTGGTGGTTGTTGACATGAAGACTGCTGCAAGATTTTATGCACCTAGGGTAGTTAAATGAGTTTAATGCTGTCTGATGAAATTACTTATTATTAATAAGTGTTGTATAACACCAAGCCCATAGTCAGGACAGACCTGGAGGAGAATGGATGTCATACACTTCATGGAAGAGAGGAAGGTATAAAAAGTAAATTAATTTAATTTGTAATATTATCCTACCTTGTCTCTTTGGAGTCTTTGTTAGTGTTAAATCTTGATCCTTATGAAAGAGTAATTAAAACAAAATTTAAAATCACATGATTACTTAACAACAAAAACTATTGTTTAACAGAAAGCTTGATCACACTGTGAGCTCTAATGCAAAGGCAGGAAGTGTTAAAATATCACCCTTTCTCTACATAAACAAGGAAAACAAGCAGAGAGATGATCCAACTTCAAAATCTACCCACTTTGAGTAAATGCAATTCCAGTTCCAACTTATGCTGTACTTTATTGTGCAGCAATAGCATGTGAAGGGTTCTCCCAAAAATTTGAGGTAGGTTGAGAACAATTTGTAGAAGCCGGCACAGAACTTTCAGCAATATGATTTCAGTTCTTGTCACTTGCACTAAATTTAATTCCAAAAGTATCATCTCACTCGAAATTTATTTAACTATATGCAGCATTGACAACTGCAAATCTAAAACTATGGTTGCCACAAGGAGAAAGGAATTGGGAACACCAACTCGTAGACTGGCATGCATGTAAGAGATTCATTGTAAATGGTCAACTGGTCTACCTCTAGTCAGTTGGGATTTTTAAACATGTTATGTTTACATTATTTGTTTCATTGTTTGTTTCCAATGGCCCTGAAGAGCCCCATTAGGGAAGTTGTCAATTGAGAAATGACCATGTTGTTCTAATCTGTGACTGTGGGATTTTTTCAAAAAATCATCGTCAGTCACACATATTCATGCAATAAATCTCTTATTGAACTGGGAAATTCTCTGAAACAATAAGTTAAGTTACTGATTGCTAGCTGTTTAAAAAAATTTTCATCTCTATGAGCTCGCATGAGTGGTGAACCAGTTTGGGAATTTTTCAGTCTCAACTGACCTGATCTGATGATAACACTGTCAACACTTCAGTGTAGCCCTTAGCTCTTGCAATATCAACGGGTGTCTTGCCAAACTGAATATCAAAAAACATGAACAGTGATGTCAATAGTACACTTCTGGATGACTGAACTTTCTAAGTTACCGACATTCAACAAAGTGGCCCAAACTAATAAGTGCTTCTTGTAAAAACATGCCAAGAAACTCCAGTTTGGGATGGAATGGCGTGACTTATCCAGGGTCATCAAAAGGTTTGGGAGTACATGAACATGCAGGTGGCTTTGCTTGTAATTGGAGTACTGCTAACAGTAAGTGGCTTTGTCCATATCTTTCCATCTTTTGAATGTATTTTTTCACTAGCCCAAACATGTATAAAGTGACAGAGTCATAGGTGGAATCAGTAATTGCTTCTGACTCCATCAGTTTGATTCTCCTGGATCATGTTGCTCTGCTCTACTTATTACGAAGCCCGCCAACTATTGTATGACTCCATCACAAGTGAAAACCAGTCTTAAGTCAAGACTGTTTCGAAGGAGAATTTGCCACTTATTTGAAGACCTAAGTGAGGCACAGCACTGTTCTCATATTTTTCATTTGAAAGAGATAATCGCTAGTACCAATAGGCCCTTTGCACGATCCGGTCACATGGTACGGAATTAATTATGCTGGGTCACAAGTTACACAGTGGGACTTCCAAAACAAAGGAACTCGTACAAGTCCAGCTTGACTTTCCATTGTTTTGAAACCTTACCTTGCTCTTGATATCTATCTTGGCTCCTGCTCTGAGAAGAATCTTGACAATGTCAACGTGGTTGTGTTCACAGGCCCAGTGAAGAGGAGTCATGTTCAACTAGAGTCAAGTAAAGAAAGAACATCTGTCAACTACATGTATTAAACATATTTACAGTCTAGTATCCTTCTAAAATATAGAGGTATGGTGACAAATTGCTGTCAAAAACTTCCAAGAAAAATTTTACAGTATTTGGAAAACCTTCAGTTCAAAGTAACACACACTTTAGTGATGTCAAGTGCTCACCATGTCAGTGTTGTTGGCACAGGCTCCAGAGGAAATAAGCAGCTCTACCACATTTGTGTGACCATGTTGTGCAGCCATGTGCAAAGGTGTTCTGTCCACCTAGGAAAAAATAATCAGTCAAATTAAAATTACTTTCAAGTGTAGTGTGATACTTCAGGTAATTCAACTTCTGGACAACACCATAATGGGATTAAAATCTGATTAACAATTGCTGGAATTTATAAATCAATTAGACAATGACATGTACATGCACAGTTAGTTCTCAGAGCCTGGGTAAATAAGTGAAATCAACAAATCAGATTGCTTCTTTACCCATCCAATATTATGATATATATATTCTGTACTTGAGCCTTGGATCATCATCAGGCACTTTGAATTCCTTAATGACACCCCCCCCCCCCCTAAAACACTCTGAATCAAAGATGTTTTATTACAGCTATTAATAGTAGTTTTGTAGTAGTACAGGGATATCATTATTGTTTTCAGCAATTAATTGCGGTTTACACACGAGCAAAAGGTTTTGAACTGAACGTCTTTATAAGAAAACTTCCCTCAAGATGATCAAACCAGATGGGAAAACTTGTTCTCACAGCCAGTCCATTTATACTGGGAGTTGGATTGGATACACCTGCCAGTATTCTCCATTTGTTGAGAGGGAAGGATGAAAAGTCAGGGTGGGTTTCATGAGGATGTCAGGACTTTTGAAGAATTCTGAAAGTTGGCCTACACTTCAAAGACTAAATGATTCCTAAAATTTATTCCGACTTGTTATGAAGTCTGTTTCCAGTGATTTAACAACAACACATCCTCTTTATTACCCTTTTCTTTTTTCATTAATTAATATAGAAATATATAAAAATATTGCTAAGTATTAGGGTTCTGGCAACCCAACATAACCACAAGGTTAAAAATGCCGGGTTGCCAGTTTACAAATTGGTTAGTCAAATTGGTTAGTCAAATTTTGTCATATTTGTAGTGGGTGAACCCCTTAGCTACTGTAGGAAAGGTTTCTCTGGTAATCAAAGAGCCAAACAAAGAATACACGATGGGTTCTACTCTAAGGCTAGTTGAATTCATTTGTATTTTGTGGTATTGTAAAAGGTCTGAAGGAAGTAATTATTATATACTATCACAAGTAACCTTTGTCCTGGCATCTCTGCTGACCCCAGCCCGAAGCAACACCTCTGCTGTCTGAGTGTGACCATGCTGGGCTGCCAAGTGTAGAGGTGAGGTACCAAGCTAAACAAATACATTACAAATACATGTATCAGTCAACTAATAAATCATCCTTGGGAAAGCTGGGAATAAATTACAATTTGCTAGTACAGATCATCTTAATGCAAAAGGTGAATATATCATTCCATGCATCAGTTTAAAGAACTTTACAAGCTGGCTTTATTTGTACACCAGTAATTCTTTGGCCCTGAAAGGTGTCATTGTCTTTTTTTTTTGGTTCCTCATTTAATCATAATTTTTAAGTACAAGTGAATAATGAAAGATCTGCAGCGCCTAGCCACTATGTAATCTTGTAAAGTAAGCTATAAAGGCTATTTACATATATAAATACTCAATATTACTGATCAGTTTTATACATGCAAGAACAAAAACCTCTTTCTAACAACCACCTCCTCCACACCATGGAGGCCACCATGAGGGAGAAATATTTCCTTACACTTCAAACATAGAATTTTCTCAAACATAGTATTGTCTTACCCAGTCTGTGGTAAAAGGTGCCCCGGATGCCATGAGCACGCTAACTTCTTCTGCATGTCCTTTACGAGATGCTTCCAACAACCTCTTCCCAAGGTCTACTAGTGACGACTTTTCCTTCTCTTTCATACTGAAGTCAGGCTATGTGCAGTATGTTATGGCAGGAAAACCTAGAACAAATTGGTACAGTGGAGTGAATAACTTAAAAAGTCCACTCCTGCATATACATAGTATTGACAGACAAACCTGGAGTAATTTAGTCTTAACCTAGACATAGACAGTTTATTTTACTTGAACAACACACTTAGCTGTGGTAACCATGTGTCCCATAGACTTGATAAGCAGAGTCTACAGGATGCACCAGCTAGTTTACAGGTGCGCCAAGAAAACAAAATAACAAAGTAAAAGTGTATGTACACACAATTGGTTATAAATATTAATCTAAACTATCTAAGAATATATAACTACTCTAAAATATGTGAGAATGTATAAGAATATAAAAATGTATATAAATTGTACAGATAAAAACTATGCATAAGTAAGATTAGAAAATGAAAAAAATTATAAGTTTAGATAAGGCAGCTGATGTCAAAGTCACTAAGTACATTTTTAAAAGCTGTATAGTTTGCCAAGGATCTAATTGAGTTCGGGAGGCTGTTCCATAATTTAGGTCCAAAGTATTGCCATGATATTCCCAGGTTTTATTATTTGGTGAGTGCAGGTGCAGGTATGACTAAAGTCAAGTGGTAATATGTGCAATGTAGTATACCCATCAACTTTTTCCTGTCCGTGGGCATGAAATCTGGGAGTGTCACCTGGATTTTCAAACAGGACCCCACATATCAGAACAGGTCTGAAGATTATACTGAGAATGTTTCAAAGATATCGAAAGATGTTTTAAACATTTCCCAGTCCCCAATGAGTCCAGTAAAATGACTTTTGCCAGAAATCAGAATAGCTGCAGAATTGGGGAAGGTTCAAATGATTGGAATAGCAGAGATAGGAAATTTGTCACATTGCATTGATGTTTGAAGCAGGATGTATCTGTGAGGTGGAATGTTAACCAGTAGACTGGCCAAAAGAAAATGATAAAGATTGGTTCTAATCATCTTCTTTACAACCTCTAGCAGTTTACCCTGAGGGAAATGGACTGTGGCCGGTGATATGTGCATTTAAGAAAACAAGATGTATACTGTGATATCACAAAACAAACTGCGACTAACCACCAGATTTTTTGTGTGCAAGTATTAGGACTTTTTACTATACAAGTTTTTCATGGAGAAAACTTAACTAAAATATTAAAAATACAACAAAGGGCTGGCCAAGGGATGTGTAACTTTCAATAACTTTTTTTGTTAAAAATTATACTACAAAAAATGAGACTAAAATTACATGGTGGCATTGTTTACATAATAAATAAGTCTCGCTTAGTTTGAGAAGGAATTAGACGAGACATACATGTGAGGTGTTGTCTTTAATCAAAATTTAAGTAATGCCGTACACGAAAACCGTTTTATTAGTTTTTAAATAAAATTCAGAGGTACAAAGAGCCGCAATAAGAAACTGCAGAGCAACAAATTTATCCAAAAATTGTAGGAATAATAGGCAAAATAAATACATTCTAAAGTTTACAAGTAAATAACATGTAACCATACATACAATGCTATCATAATTCTCCTATTTCAAACGAATGTTTTTCAGTTCATATTTAGGAAAATTAGATTTTCATCTTAACGAAAATCACAACGGACCCATACTCCTAAGACCATCTGTACACTTAAAAAAAAATTGAAGATTGCTAACTTTTCTGATTGTCCGGAAGTCAACTCCGCCATCTTGGCTCCGTACAGTGTACATCAACACCAAACAAAATTTACACTAGATACGATAAACAAGTAGACAATATAATACTTAGATCCAACCAAAAGATTTTAACACGACAGAAAGATTCTATTTGGATTTTGTTTCAAAGTTATCCATATCATATTAACTAATGAGAAAGACGAAATTTGGAATCGGAGATGATCGATCGAGTAAATACACATCTTTCACGCTGACTTCACAAGTACGAATTTCTACAGACAGCAGCCCAGACTATCCGCGAAAAGGATAAAACATATTGAAATTCACAAGAGAAGATATTTGAGTCAAGGTATAAATCGACAGGTGCAAGGCTGGGTGGATTGGACGACGATGTAGAAAACACACGCCAACCAACGTTTTCACATCCGGAGTTCCTAATTTATGCAAAAATAGAAACGCGTCCACAACAGCCAAACTACCGGTGCACAAAACTCCAATTTGCGCGGAGAACTTGCAGAATCTTAGCTCAAAAAATGACGGAGTTGATACTCAGTTACATAAACTTTCGAATCGATCTATTTGCCTCAAACACAAACTGAATAACATAATATGACAACCGCCACTCGAAGGAAAAGAACAACAACACGGAAGCGAGAATTTTCCCTTCAAACTTCTCCTCGGTTACTCTGGAAATTACGACTGGATTACACATACCTTGAAGCTTTGATCCCTGAAATGATCCAAAATGTCCTGGAAAATACTACGAGAAAATAAACCGAGCCATCTAAAGTTTACAGGCTGCAAAAAAGGCCGGAAACTAAGAGCGGAAGCACATGGTTGGTTCTCGTCGCTCGTTTGGAACTTCCTTTGCTCCTTGGACGCCGTTCAACGCATAATCACGTGATACCTCCGCAACAAGAAAATGCATGTGTGACAAGTCCCCTGTCACAAGGGAAACTTCTTCCGTTTGGCTAAAGTTCAATTTCTTTGGCCCTTGAATTAAGCGTTGTACTTTAGGTCAAGATATTTCAACTTCTATATACTATAGTGTGTTTCTTTTAATGGTTTTTTGGATGGTTCAAGGTAGAAATCGTTTTGATTGCGTTCAAGTTTCTCCTTACTTCAATTAATTGACTTTACTTCTAAGTTCCCGTATGTCAAAGCCTTCCCGCCAGAAATGCAGTTATTTCAGTCATTTCAGCGTACTATAATTGCTAGTTTCGTATATCCATGTCGATTGTAAAGAAACTGTTTTGTGGTTTCTGATCAAACCATTAAATTCTGTCATTAAATAGTTAGTAACCAAGGAGCTGACAGGCGTTGTAGCTTGTAAGCACGCCTGTTGAAGCTTTGTGCAGCGACATTTATATGCCTAGTACACCTAGGATGCTTCACAGCTCTTCGCTCATTTTATAATTTTGTGAAAAAGTTTTCCGCAATACTTATTACTTAAATCGAATCAAAATTATTCAGTTCGATTGAAGGACGACACGCCTTGTTTTTTGTGACCTCCTTCCCCTCCGGTTAAACACTGGTTATACAGTGGGAACTGGCACTGCGCAAAAACCAAAGACAGGTGAGAAGGAGGGAGGAGTGTGGACTTTCAGTAGCTTCAGTATAGGGGCATCGGAGGAAAGGAGGGGACGGAACTTTGTATTCAAACAAAATTTGCTTAAATCTACCGCAAAACACTCCTGAAGTGGCAAAATTAGCGGGCAGCAACGGTTTAAAACCGGGTTTTACGTTGTAAAATGTAATCGTCCGACTTGCGCGCTACTCATGAGCCGACCTCATCGATTGGCCACATGGTGGCCAGCGGCTACTGCTCCTTTACCATTTTGTCGATACCTTTCCATACCTTTGAGAATTTTAGTTTTCTTTGTCAGTTTCTCTCCGATTCTGTAAACTTTCAGTATCGTTCATGCCTTACTGCTTAAGAAAACAGAAGGAATCGCTTTGAAGTCTAGATGCGGGTAAGAGCAAAAACATTCCTTCACTACCTTCGATCGCTTCGATCTTTGGACAGATAAAGCGTTTTTTTTCTTCACCTAAGCCTAAATTACTAATATGCTTACGGTCCTGAAATTTAAAGCACTTTACTTAACCGCAGAGTTAACCGTCATCTTGCAGCTGCCGGCCCATCTTTTGTGAAATCCTTAGACCAAAGATAATGGCATCAAAACCTTCAGTTCTTGTACTTGGAGGTAAGTGTCTTATCAATATTTCACTGTTTTAGTCAAGGGTCCAGTCTTGAAACAGTTTGCGGCCCATTCATCGATCCTAATACTGAATAAACCTTGATCCATCCTCTGCTTTATCATACAGATTATATATTTACCATAGCTGTCGATTATCTTCCCGGTACTTAATTTTACTTATAGCTACTTATTGCCATTTATTATTTTTTTTAATAGCCGTAAACAATTGTGTCGTTTTCCTCATTACATACTGTACGATCACTCAAGAAGATCTTTGTTGTGTACTCATTAGTGTGAAGCTGGGGACTGGGGGTAGGTGGGAGGGCTCACTCTTCTCTGCTCATTTCTTGTTGTGTTGTTGGATGTTAACAAGATACATTATTTGATCATTACCCTGCGAATGCAGATGTATTTCTGACTGTTACTTGCCTCTGCCAAAGATAACGTCTCCAAACAACCCAGACGAGAGATTGATTTCAGTGACATGAGCTGGAAATACGTCTGGGTTAGCAGGCTAAGGAATCATGTCCTATTCATGCAACTGAACCCCTAGTAGACTTACTTTACAGCTCGCTCCCTATTTTCTGTGTGTTGGTTGTTGAGATCACCATGCACACATATTTCAACTACCTGCTCTCTTGGTCTCAAATTGCAAGTGCAATCTGGTAGATTTGGTGTTTCTCATGACAGTGGGCTTGAAAAATAAAATCAATTAATTAATTAATCAATTTATTAAATTATTTTAAAATTAATTGATTAATTAATTAATTAATTAATATTAGGAAAACAGTGTGAGTAGCCATGTCCTGTAGGAGTGTGTTGGTACCTTTAAACTAAGTACATGTTTTTTAATCTCAATAAACTTGCAGGTTTGGGATTTGTTGGTCGTAACCTTGTGTGCTACCTTGTTGAGCATGACCTGTGTTCTAAGGTAAACAACTGTAAATGAAAAAATTCACTGGATCACCAATGATTTTCAATTGATAGTATATCGACCAACATTCTTCTCCATGTCATTTTGCAAGTCGACTACAAGTAGTCTCTCTTTCGCCTAGTCTGTTGTGCATGACGCGAAAGAAAAGCGCAAAAAAAAAATGGCTGCGCAAAATCCTGGAGGCATAGCTTGGCAAAGCTTTCCGCCTCCAACCTGACTGTGAGTGTGTTAGTAGTTTCGCTGCTCAACAGCATCGTCCAAGTCAGCGAATATAAATTCACTGAGCTTGTCCTTTCTGCTGTCCATTTGAAAGATTGAACCGGACTTTCACTTGAAACTGGACATTCACCTGAAACTTTCCGCTGCTATCGGCAAACAATCGGCAAACATTTCACTGCAGTTGGATGATCTCCTATGTCAAATACGTAATAAATTCTCGTTTGAAACTCTGCATTTGAAATTTTTGCAATAACTTTTAGATTTACACCTACAGATGCAGAATATTGTTACATGATGCCTCATTCACCGTCTTCTTTTTAAAACGTCTTCTGCAGTTTCGCTGAATGAACACTGAACGAAGATCTACTTTTCACGGCATATGTTTTTGTCTGGCTTCTTGAACTCCTTGAAGAGTAGTGTAGAGCAAATTTAATTAGGATATCTCCTGGGGTTATTGACAACAGGCAATAATAAGAGGACGTTAAGATGAGAAATCCTACACCAGAAAATCATTCAGCTGTGAAAGAGCAAACTCTTGGGCTTAGGCGGTAGCCCCTCCTTTCGTGCGCTCCATGCCCCCAGGATTTTGCACGACCATTTTTTTTGCGCGGTTTTCTTTTGGGTCACTCACAACGGACTAAGCGAAAGAGGGACTACTCGTAGTCTATTTTGCAATTAGTGTAATTTTCTAATACTGATTGGTAGTTAGTACAAGCAACAAGTTTTGCAAATGAAATTGACATTTACTTGATCTGTGGTCAATTTCTGTAGAGTTCTGACAAGTTCCAATTTTCAAAAGACACGTTGGATATACTTGTATCAACCAAAGGTTTCTCCCAAATCTTGTTTTGTTTATAAAGTCTTCTATTGGAATTACTTGACAAAGGGATCTTAGGGCAGAAAGCTGCAGAGTAACATTAGAAATTTGACACATCAAACATGGGCTATACTGTATAAAGTGAAACAACATGATACCATGTCTGTCTCAAACAGAGAGAATTACTCTTCAGTGGACTGTTGATCAATAAACTATGAGAAATCAGTGACCACTTTAGTTCACATGGCCAAACATGGAACCTAGATTATGAGTGTTCACTCTCTCACTTAATAGTCTGTTGTGCATGATGCAAAAGAAACCATGCTTCTTGCCCCCCAGGATTTCACACAGCCATTTTTTTCTCACAGCTTTCTGTTATGTCATATTGGATGGACTAACAGTTAGTCCAGTAACTGGACTAACTGTCAGTGAACAGCATGTGTTCACTAATGATTTGTTGTGTTTACCATTTTCTGCTTGTTTAATTCTGAAGTTATGAAAAGAGAACTTTGTTTCTTAACTGAGTGAAGCTGTTATTGTTAAGACTAGGAAATTCAATTGATGGTTTACAGAATCACAAGTGTTCTTCATGTTTCTATGAAAACATACAACTCTGTAAAGGCGTTGCTTGCCCTT